AGAATTATTGCCGTGGGGGGGGGGGGGGGGGGGGGGGTAACCCTATATAGGTAAAATGACATGTTTGCTTTAATGTCTACTGGAACATACAAAGGAATACTCCTTTACATTGCATACCTATTGTTTGTAAGATTCTAGATACCTTATCGACTACATGTTGCCATTCTGTTGTGCTCTAATACTGTTTTGCACTATTATCACCAAATAAAATTAAAAAAAAGAAGTACTTGTTCACAGGATTCTTGATTCCTTTGCCTTCAGAACCCAAGCCTTCTCCTTCCTTCCATCCCATCTTCATAAGCATTTGATAACCTATGTTCTCTACAGTCAGTTTGAATTCCTTATATTCTGAATAGTCTGGCTCACGTCCTTCCTGCAGAGAAGAAAAAAAAAAGACACATTGCATCTCCATAGTTTTTAACTGTCCCCATTTTCCATGTACTGTTCCAGTTTTAGATATTTTAGAGCAGCCATTCTGAACCTTTTACCCCAGAGGAACTCTAGAATTCCACAGGACCCTGGTTGAGAATGGTCATTTTAAAGATTCATATACAGTATTGAGACATTCCTGGTCAATAACACCCATTTGTTTTGTTTTTTAAATTAAAGGGAGATAATGTTTCTTTAAAAGGAAAATTAGACAAAAATAAGCTTTAGGTGGATGATTGGGTATTTTTTTGACTAAGAAAGTTTTTAGGGGATATCATAATACATCACCAATCTGTAGCCTACTCAGGCAGATTGAAATAGAAATTGAAACAGGTGCAGGTGCAATACCCGTCACCTTTTCTTTAGGCCCGGCCAATTTTTATCAACATAATGTACTAGGTGCTGGAAGCCATCTTGCGTCATGAAACATGCATGGCAAGGGTAGGAACTGGCAATTCCCTATACTTACATTCACAAACCGTGCAAACATCTGCCCTGCAGAGATATATCTCCAAAGAATGGAAACAGTTGAGTTAAAGCTTAAGTTATACCCTACTAGAAAGTGTTAAAAGAAAGCAAGTACAGTTAACATTAAAAGCCAATATAAAGCATCCTTCACACTGCTGCCTTTTATTTAAATATCCTCATAAAGATGATTTGTGGCTTGTACAGTTAGTATTGGTTTTACCAAGCGGTCTATTTTGTTTTGTAATCAAAAACCGGAAAATAAGAAAAAAAACTACCCCTATAACTTACTCACGCGCAAACAATAAATCTAGACTTTTACTCATAAAAAGGTCTAGCCTTACAGCTCTTATAATTTATATTCAGGATAAAATGACAGTTTCTGGAGCATAATACACAACTGAAAACACTCATTATTACCTTTAGTGCTTTGAAGGTTTCCATGAATTTGTCCAGCTCATCCGGTGGCAAGAAATCTCCAATGAAATGTTTCCCTCGTCCCATTTCAGTCAGTTGTTCTGCCCATTCTGATAGTGGGAAAAGAAAAGCATGTAAATATATGCAGAACCCAAAATTAGACATCACAAATATGTATGATTAGTATTATAAATGATGTAGTGTTTTTTTGTACAGACTGATTTCAATATTGCTACCACAAAGTGTAAGAAACTAAAGGGAAGGTCAGAAGTGCTACAAATAAATCTAGGGATGCACTGAGTATTTGGGCGGCATGTAATGACTTGCTGGCCCGCTTCCTGATTGGTTGGAAAGCTGGCCAATCAGGAAGCTGGGTGGCGAGTCAAAATTGCTACATTACTAATAAATCTAGGCATGCACCAATACATTGGTGCTGATACCGAGTATTTGGGAGAGTACTCATACTCGCCCAAATGCTCCCGATACCGGAACGTCCGGTATCAGGAAGCGTTGTCGTCAAGGAGCATGGAGCTGGCTTCCCGGGCAATCAGGAAGCCGGGAGCGGATAATGACTCGCCCTCCGGCTTCCCGATTGGCCGGGAAGCCGTCTCCATGCTTCCTTGTCACCTGGTCAATCAGGAGGCCGGGCGGCGAGTGATTACATGCCGTCTGGCTTCCTTAATAGGACTTCATGTATCGGTATTAGCGAGGAACGAAAATAAAATATTGGTATTTGGTACCAAAAAAATGGTATTGGTGCATCACTAAATAAATATGTGTGTAACTTCAGTGGTCTAGCCACAAAATGTTAGCTTTGGACACTTGCTGACCATCATGGGCAACTGGTAGCCTTCAAGATATCGAAGAACCTCTGGTTCCCATTTGACCTGTTAGGAACTGCCAAACCATAGTATTTCCTCAAAAGAAGGAGTGCAAGGTGTTCTCAACTTTGTTTTTAAGAAGTCTGTGACTATGTGTACAAGGAGGTGACTGCTGTATTATGCAAAATTGTTCCCAGAAATTAGAGTAAAGCAAGATGTAGAGCAATGCCATGAATAATGTGCTTTATGCAAAAGGAAGGGTTCTGTCTCTTGATAATGAGCTAAATTGTCGATCTGATGCTTTCTCTGCTCTCTGAAAAAAATGATAAATGGCAGGGCAATGGTCTCTGTACAGAGGACAAGTATGCATCACTGCCTGGCACTGTATGTCTTCACTCGCTTTAAAAAAAAAAAAAACAAGGCAAAAGGGATAAACAGATACACTTAGTAAATAACCTTAAAAAGTATAAAACAAGGTGCAGCCAAATGTTTGACAGAGTTAGTGTCTCTTACCCCTTGTTTTATCCATTTCCATGCGTCTCAGCTGATGCTCCCAGGTTCCAAAATCATTGTCCACTTCTTCATCACTATCATAATCATGTTGGTGCTGTTTTAAAGCTTTTTCCCACATGTACTGCACATCCTGCATGGCTTTCTTGTGTTTCATTATCATGTCATACATTTGCTGCATCTGAACAGACCATGGGAGACTGGTTAACCTATGACTAAAACTAGTTTTTCTTAAATCAGCACTCCTGTCTGCCAAAATTGCATTATATTGATTACATATGCAGCCCTAAAACAAATCCTCTTGTTATAACAATATCTACATGAACACATCTGTGAATCAAATTATGTGACTGCAGTGCAAACAGCTACATAATTCAATCAGCTTCTGCAGTACTTGGAAAAAAAGACTAAAGAAATTCCAGGTGTTGAACTTTCAGGTTCAAGAGTTGCGATTTCAGGTGTGCTAGGTCCAAGATGGAGCAAATTGATCTGTTCTTCCTGGGACATCGGAAAGAGATTTGCGCAGAGACCCCCAAAATTATTCAAAAGTGGAGATCTGTCACAACAAATCTATGAGGTAGAAGAAACTCTTTAACAAATGTGAGGAAGCGGGAAAGTAAAACTGAAAAAAAGCTTAGGTGGTAGAAGACCTGAGAAGGCTGCACGTATCCCAAAAAGTTGTCCAAGGTGGGGGCACTCTTCTTTGGAGGGAGGTGTAGGACTTGTGGCCAGGAAGAGTCAGAGCAGCCCTTATAATTGCTTAGGGAGTATGGAGTGGAGGTGCCTCCATGGCTCCTGGATGACCTGCAGAATAAACAAGGAGCTTCTGTGCAAAGCTGAGCCCTGGTTAGGTTGTGCCTGTAAAAGAACAGCATCTGTAAAACTGGCACTGTTTCTAACATGAGGCAGAGGCCCAAGAAGGGCAAACTGTGAGGGACTTCTTAAAAATGAAATATCCCCTGACCATCTATAAAACTACTATGACCTGCTCAATGTGACAACAGAAGCACTTTTTGGTGTGGCTAGCCAAGCTGTCTCTCTATGCACACCTTGCTGCTATGAAACAAATGATCTGCTCGGCTGATCAACATGGTTACGGAAACGAGCAAGTGAGAAAAAATATCCCAAACAGCAGAGAAAAACTCTTTGCATCCAATCTCCTATGGGCAAACTCCAGGTTGTACCGGGTCACCCGGTGAACAAGATTTTTTTTTTTTTTAAATACTTTAATTTAACACAGCTGCAAAAAAGAGTACAGAACATCTTCCCATCAAAAACTAGTACCCACAGGTACGATATAAAAACAGAAACATATATGTACATGTCGCATAAGGAATAGCCAACAGGTTCAGTCCTCACATCACAAAATCAAAAAACATGTAAAAATATAGGCTGGAGCAGTACACCAAGTACATACTATAAAGGACTAAACCAGATGATCCCAGTTATCTTGTCCCCGTTGTAGCATAGAAAAGTTGCTATGTGGCAGATAGTACTCTCTCAGCAGCTAAACTTTTTATTTATTTTAAAAAGGTAAAAAAAAAAAAACACAACACAAAAGATCAGGAGTGAAAAAAGACGGAAGAAAAAAAGAAGTCTAAAGTCCAAGACACAGGTACAACACCCCCACAAGCTTTTTTTTTTTTTTTTTATACGCAACTACAAATGAACCTTTACTTCATAAGTCATTTACTAGATTTTCAAATCACAATCAGAACATTTTTTTGGCCTTTTAGCTTTTTAGAAAAAGCACATATTCCCTTCTTTCCTAAAATTGACCACTAAGAAAAGGCTGGTTAGAAGACATGTGCAAAACTATAATGTCATATTGGACCTGAAAACAAGAATGACTTATAGCAACACATCGGTTTTTTTCATACTGCAAGAAAATTTTAGAAATGAGAGGGAGAATCTGACTAGTTCCCATAATATACTGTAGCACAAAACAGATGCATACTAAAACAAAGAGTGCTTCATTCAACTCATTTCCTCTTACCTCCTGCTGCTCCTTCAGCTGTTTCTTCTGGGCATCTGACAACTCTGTAACTCCCACCAGCCCCACAGGTTTTCCTTTATCATATCCCAGACCTTTCAAATCCTGCTCTGTAAACAAGGATATAAAAAATCAAATGGTGAGTGAAATGTACTCTACCCCATAGTTAGAGTGGATGTGCGACACTGCAGCCGTCACACTTCTGCTCTATTGATCGAGAACTGAGCGATCACAAACCACTGATCACTCAGCTCACGATCTTCTCCCTGTAGAGAGTTGTGTCAGTAACCCCTCTCCGCAGGGATTCCCCTCTCCTCTCTGTTCCTCCAGCGCTGACTGGAGGGAAAGACAGGGTGGGGGCTAGCAGAGCCAGCGGTCAATCAGGTAGCAGGGTGAATCCTAAAAATATTGTCGGGACTCTTCCTGGCTGCAGCACGGCTCTGCGCTGTCAGCTTATAGTGGGCAATAACCCGCTTTCTGGGTATTCTGCCAGCAGGAGATTCCTCTATCGAAGCTTGTAAACTGTGATGGAGGAATCTGTTCAGCTAACAGGTTAAACAAAGAAAATATTACAGTGTATGGCCAGCTTAAGCCTCGCCTTATGCAATTGCATTTGTTCCTGCAATTATGCACTCTATGGATGTGCATCCATGCAGATTTTGTATAATGAAGGGAGAAAGTTGAACTGCAAACTTTCCTACTGGGGGCCACCATAAAAAATATACTTTCGGTCGCCAATGGTAGCAATGGACCTACTTTCAGAAAATGAGCACAGTTCTCACCAGATAGAAGGGTGGTATCAGGAGGCTGGTTAACCACAGATGCAGGAGGCAACTCGACTTTCTCCCCTTCTGGGCCCCATCGACTTTTTCTTTTCCTTTTTGCAGTTGTCTGCTGTGTGGATAGCTGCGGTGGTGAAGATGAGGATGATGAAGAGGATTCGGGGGGAGGTGCTACAATGGGTTTAGACTCTGGCTCAAATCTTCGTTTTAGTTCAGGTTCTTCAGTAAAGTCAACTTTGTATTTCTTGGCTCGTCTGAACTCTTCCACCTTCATTTTATAATACTGGTAACCTTTACCATTGGTATCATACAAAAACCTGGTAAATACAGAGATGAAACACTCATTCTGAATGGCATTAGATAATGAAGAGATTGATTTAAGCTTCTTAAAAGGAGAACTATGAGGCGAGTGCTTTTCACTCACCTCATAGTTCTAGCCGACCTGTGACAATGAGACTGTCACAGGTCGGCTCAGTAGATCGGGAGGTGAGCGAACACATACCGGCGTTCGCTCACCTCTCGATCCTGTCACGGCTCTCTGCCGTGACAGGGGAAGGGCTGAATTCCTCCCTCCCCGCTAGCGCTGACTGGTGGATCGGACGGGGGAGGGGGCGGGTACAGCTGGCTCTGCCTCTAGATAGGCAGAGCCAGCTGTCAGTCACGCAGCTGGGCGGATCCCGGCACAATTGTTGGGATCCGCTTCAGCGTCTCAGTATACCGCGAGCAGCAGCTCGCGGTATACTGCGGCGTCTCAGTATACCGCGCACTGAGCCTAGGGTGACGGGAGGACGCTAGTTTGTGTCCTCTCGTTACCCTAAGGAGAACTATGCGGAAAAGACTTAACCCCATAGTTCTCCTTTAAGCTCCATGTACACAGGCATGAAGCCTGTGAAGCTTTATTTAGTAAGCAGAGTGGAATAATTACAAAATATCAATATTGCAGGCAGCGTTTAACAAAATAAAATTAGTGCTAAACAATGTGTGTAATAAACCTCATACATATGTTTTACTGCAGATCAATGTTCCCAACAGTCCCGAAAAAGTTCAAGTTCTACAGTCTCAAAATGTGACCCTTCACCCATAAGAGCTCCACCTACCAGATTATATGACCTCTAAATTATAAGCAGTCATTAGCAGATACTGTAAATGTAACCATTGTCACTAAAGGATCTCTGTAGGTGAAATGATTACATTTATTTGCCAATTCCCCCCAGTGTTCTCTAGACTTGTTACACTGTATGTCTTGTTACAAAGATGTATTTCAGTTCCATCTAGTGTCCATAATGTGGTATTTTTCTGATTCACTCTATGAATGAACCTATTTTTGCTACTGTCCATAATATTTAAGAACATTCGACCAGAAGTGAAAATTGTCTAAGAACCTTCGATTTTGCCCTATTCTCACAACAGCCGATTAAGCCACACAGAACAAATGTGCCTGCAATTCCACTGGAGATTATATATTTGTGTGGCTGTGTGTATACATATACACACACACACATATATATATATAATAATTATTCGAGTTTCACCTGTATAGTACATACATATACACATATACACCTTTATGGTAAGCACAAATGTTACTTTGTTAGGCACTGCCTGCAATATTAATATTGTGTGTTTATTCATTATTTATTAACAAGAGGTATGCTGCCAACATTAGGAGTTAATTGATAGTGTGGTGTTAAGACACCGCAGTAATTAAAATGTTTGTCAACCAAAACTTTCTATTTTCTTAGATTTGGATAGAGTGGGGAGGGCTAAGAAACACTGTCAGGATTTGACTGCTATCCAGGACTCTGCTAGAGAGATTTCAGCTTACCCCCTGTCCTGCTGACAACCTTTAACCAGACAGGAAGTGAGTGGAACTCTCCAACAGTAACAGACAGAATTAAAAATGCTTTACTTTAGTAGAGTAGGGAGAAGAATACAACCCTTCAGAGATTTTTATTTCTGTCTATGTCCCATTGTCAGCAGGATAGGGATAAGAGAAAATTTCTCTAACAGAGCTCAAAATAGCAGAAAAAGCCAGCAGGAGTTCTAATCCTTCTTTGCCACTCTATTCAAAACTAGAAAAAGTTTTTAACTGATCTAAAGGGTTTAGGGTTCAACCCAGGTTGGACAGATTACCAACCTAACCCTCAAAATTCTTGTGCCAGGCAAGCAACAGTTTCCATGATGCTCACGCAATGCTGATGCGGTCTTTATTAGCGTAGCAGGATGAAAAGGAGTAAACATATACTCGTCTTTGAGAAAATGGCAGCACACCAAATCACTAATGGAATATTGTCCTAAGCAATGCTGGGGAGATCTGTTAAATGAAGTCAAGTGTGGACATTAAAAAGTACCAATCGCGATGATAAATATTGAAGCCGCCATTGCTGACTTTTATAAAACAAAAAAAACAGAGAACAGAGAAGTCTTATCATTCTTTTTCTACTTTGCGAGTCACTGGCCAGTGCAAGCATAAGCCTCATAATTCTATGTGCCTGCATAATCTGATTAATATAGTATACTAGATGTTGGAACACCTAATATACTCATACTTGTTCCAGATCTGTGACTCATTATGCAGTAAAAGAAGGATGAGGTTGGTGTCCCACGGAGCTTTCAAGCTCAAAAACAAGTCAGCAATGGCAAACATCTTGAAAGAGTTATTCAGGATATTCTATACCTACACCGTAATACTAATTACCGAAAGGCAGGGTTCTCCCTGTTATTCTGCAGGGCAATGGCTTCCACCTCTGGACCTCCATCTGCTACATATTTGGCCAACTTCTCTGCAAACATCTTTATTTCTTCATCTTCTGGCACTGAAATATGACAGAGAATCAAACAGTGGCTGTAAATGGGCCATTGGAATGTTGGCAATCAATCATGTAAAACTTTTCCAAACTGCCAAAAGCTCTCTGCTTTAGAACAAATGCTTCTGGTTTCATTATTGTTATCCTCCATATGAACATTGACATTTATCAGGCCATGTACGATCATTTTAATATGATGATATAAAAACACAAAACCCCTTGCACATATAGAACTGCAGATGCTAGTGAGGGGGAATGTTCCACTTACCGTTACGTGATGCAACTTTCTCTCTTCTCTGACAATTCTGCTTACACTCTGCCAACTTCTTCCTGTAATACAGGAACTCCGGGCTGTTCTGATCATGTAGAAACCTACAACAACCGAGGTTTAACATTTCTTTGTTAATAGTCAATACTATTCATTCTCATGAGGTGCCACAAGAACCCCAACTAAACTGGCATCTTCTATGCATACAGAGCAGAAGGATCCTACTTGGCTCTTATTTTCCCTAAACATAGTTATACTCAGTCATGAGGGTTTCGCTGTTAAAATTAAACCTGTAGTAAAAGGAATACAGGAGTTGCCAAATTGTAGCTGTCTGGCTATCTCGAACATGCAGATCAGGATGGAGTGAAGTTGGACTTAACGATCTGTATACTTGTTCCAGGTCACTGCTTCATGAATAATGCCCCCATACTCTCTTAGTACCTTTACTTTAAATACCAACCCTTACTCTATCATTTCATATTTTTTATCATTTCATCATCAGTTTGGGTACTCCAATGTCGTCTGCTAATTGCCTCAGTATCAAACTGGTCAAACTGCTAGAACACAACTCCAAAATCATCTGCATCAGGCAATTCTCTATGCATGCTCAAAAACTACAACAAAGATTAAAGCCCAACTAAATCTTCAGTTTAAATCCGCTTCTAGGAGTAGGAAAACAAAAAAAGGTGTGCAAAATGTGTTTTCTTTAGAAAGCGGCCACAGCCCCAGTAGAGGCGCCTGTCGCATGCCAGCTTGCTGTCGAGAGCGACTATTGCTCTCCGTGTTGAAGCAGTGGTCAGACACGTCTCCCTGCGGAGTCAAAATTAGCTTTTCTTAATTTCAGGTCTTTAGGTCTGACTCGGCAGGGGAGGTGTTGGACCTTTGCAGAGAGACCATTGCATCCACACAGTCAGCAAGGGTCCTTCTCTGCAACATGCTGGCAGGGGGCAGGCTTTTCTACTCAGCCTATGGCTACTTTATAAAACAAAAACGAACTGCAAGACTTTGCTCTAATTATGGTTTTGTCACGGTCTGGGGACCAGGGCACTAGGGGACGTGTACCCTGGGGTTTGAGGAGTTGGTAGGAGTCACAGACAGGAGGGATATCTGGGATGTTGGTCACAGGGAGAGAGGAACTAATGGTCTGTGCATTCTCAGGACGCACAAGAGGCGCAGAATCTAAGAAGGGCCAGGTATTCGACAGAGCCTCTAGTGGTGAGGATGATTGGCTGCTGGACACCTTCCAGGTTGCGGCCCTCTAGCGCACCCACACAGACGCAAAGGACTAGTTGAAGCACCGGGGAACTGGATACAAAAAACAGGTAGGGATGAAACTTGTAACCAAGAGGAGGAAGATAGGAACAGTGGCACACAATGAAAGAGAAAGACACAAGTAAATGTGCAAGATGCACAGCAGAGGATATACTGAAGAGAGAAGCCAAGCAAGGACTCAGGAGACAGTGACAGACCGGAAAGGTGAGTAGCTAGGAGGTACACTTAGGAGCATGAAGGTATAAAGTACAAAAGGAAGTCAGAAATGTGCGTTGCACATGCATACAAAGTAAAAAGCAGGATAACAGAAGATAAAATGCAAGGTGTAGGACAAAGAGGTAAATGCACACAGGGAGTGTCACGATAGAAGCACAAAGCTGCAAGGAAAGAGTGGAGCTTAGAAATAAATGGGTAAATGCGTAGCAGGGTGGATACACTGGAATGGTAAGTAACAGACCGCTAGAGAGAGTTAGCCAGAAGTATGAAGAATGGAAGTAGGTAGAAGAAAGCAGACACACAATGGCTGGAGTGAGAAAACACAGAAGTAGTTAGGCAAGGAAGGCAGTATAGAGAGACTCACAGCACACTGGTGAAGCAAAGGGAAATCTTCAGCAAAATGCAAAAGGTACACACTGGAATACTATAGTAGCGGCGCAAAGAGCAAAGCAGGGGATAACGCCAAACAGGGATACCAGCTCGTACAGGGAAGCCAAAGGCACAAGGATCCATTAGTGAGAGCATGGAATAAGATCCCAGGGATAGTTAGAGACACGAGGGGTACAGAACAAGGCATAAGACTTGTTGCTCGCACCAAGAGCAACAAGTGAGGAAGTCCTAAATAGGGGAGGAGGAGAGCAGATTGGCTGCAGCCTTGCGAGACACCATAGGCTGACAGCCCAGAACCAGGGAGCAAAGCGAAAATCCAGCACGGATTTCCAGATATTGTGACAGGTTTGACTAACCTGAAAGGGACTTAGGCAATTTAAAGTGAAAATTCAGTTTGGGTTTTTCTTAAATGGTTCTCCTTCCTATATGCAATAAACCACATTAATTGACAGGGGGACCAAAGAGCAAAAATAATCCTTATTTTGCCCTTTCTTCACCATGGTAAACTGAACCCCTAAAGTGGAACTAGACCCACCAATGTAATGTCTGCCAAAACAGTTACTTCCAAGGCATTCCAACTGTCAAGGTAGCCAGTGCCATTTTTTTCAGCTCCCAACCAAACTTTCAAGCCCTCAAATGGCTAGTGTCATCACATGTGTAGTACCATGGCAACTACAATTGAAAGAGACTAAGATAGCACCTTCCTATGCTGTAAAGAATAGGAGGGTGCAGTTTCGCTTTGTCATATGGTGTGCATTAAAAGGAGAACTATGAGATGAGTGATTTTCACTCACCTCATAGTTCTAGCCGACCTGTGACAATGAGACTGTCACAGGTCGGCTCAGTAGATCGGGAGGTGAGCGAACAGATACCGGCGTTCGCTCACCTCTCGATCCTGTCACGGCAGAGAGGGGCTGGATTCCCCCCTCCCCGCTCCGATCCGCCAGCGATGACTGGCGGAACGGACGGGGGGGGGGGCGGATACAGCTGGCTCTGACTCTAGATAGGCAGAGCCAGCTGTCACTCACGCAGCTAGGCGGATCTCGACATCGATGTCGGGATCCGCTCCGGCTGCGGCGTCTCAGTATACTGAGATTAGGGTAACGGGAGGACGCTAGTTTGTGTCCTCCCGTTACCCTAAGGAGAACTATGGGGAAAAGCCCTGACCCCATAGTTCTCCTTTAAGAAGCACTGATTTGGACTGTTCTCAGCTATAGATGAGAGACAGAGAGAGAGAGAGAGACAGAGAGAGACGGAGACAGAGAGAGACGGAGAGAGACAGAGACAGAAGCCAGACATGGAAAAGAGTTCATATAATAAATGTATCATTCAAGTAAATCAAATTTTTGTTAAAGGGGTTCTGATTGACTATACGACAATATTAAATATGGTTTTATCTGCCAGACTAAACAGATTATAACGGAGCTCTGGCAGAAACAGTCATTTTACTTTTTTTTTTTCTTCAATTCGTTTATTGTCTGCACAAGTACAATATACACATATTGCATGTAGTAATATAAAAAAGACATATAACACAATTACACTGTTCGTGCTCTTGGAACATTCCAAGAGCTATGGTATCCACATAAAGTCCGTAGGTCAAGACCCGGCCTCGACACCCCATATAACCGGTAGCTGCGGTAAGAACAACAAGATTGTACAGTAGGGTATGTCGCATGGCCGTATCCTGTGTGTAAAAGGTATTTTGTGTGAACAGCAAAATTGCAGAACCGATTCTTTGTATCTTTTCAAGCATTGTTATACAAAATATGCAGGAGGGAAAGGGAAAAGACAGAGGAGAGCGGGGTCATGGGAGTGCTGAAATTCCTTTCAGAAGCAAGATTTATAGTTGTGGAAAGGGAGATAAGAAAGAGAGAGGTACCTGGACCACTGCCCACCCCCCGTGGCTACTGTTGGGAGACGGTAAGGTATCCTTCACTAGATCCGCCATTGTGAGGCGACTACTCTCCATCCTGAAACTGACAGGATAGCGGCTCTGCTCTCTCTCCACAACCTCCCCCGTTAGGCCAGCCTGAAGTGACAGCTGCCGGCTCTCCCCTCTCCTACACACCCGGCCATCCTGGATGACAGCGATCTCTCCTCCGCAGCACACCCCCCTCGATCCCCGCTGCCTTTGCCCATAGAGCAGTATGGGCAATTTTAATGAATAGCCACTGATGACAGCTATAAATTTGCAAAGGGCAATCAGGAGAACCGTGAGCTTATAGCAGAAGGGTGAAAGCCACCGACGTAAGGCTGAATGACATGGCCAGCTGCAAGCGGTTGTGTTCCGCCGTAAGCCTTAAGGTCGGTGGCAGGGAAAGGGTTAAATAGAACACCCACAGATGTATTTAGAAGTCAGCAAAAGTGTTATGTTAATGGACTGCGGTTTTTAGGCAAGGTACACAGGAACGTATAAAACAGTGTTTGTAAACACTGTTCTGGTGCTTAATATAGAAACAAAATGTAACATTATTGTTCTATTGCATGTGCTTACTTAGTTTCATTAAAATGCATATTTTTGTGTTGCCCATCAAAAAAAAAAAGTCTATTTTAATTGTTAATAACTTTGCAACTCTTTCTACCAGAATTTTTATTTTAGTGTCATTGTAAACAGGACAAAAGAATAAAACGTATACTTATCTACAGTAACTGGTTGGGCCTCACTGATGAGACTAACGATACTGAAATCACAATTTTTGTAACCAACATAAGTAAATGTTACTCATTATTAACCCCTTCGTGACTGACGACGTACAGTGTACGTCGCCAGCATCGGGGCTGTTTAAACAGACTCCCGGCGACTTTTGCCGCCGGGACTCTGTTTAAACTTGTAGAGCCGACTGTCGGCTTTACAACAGAAGCGATCCTGGCGACTTACCTGTCGCCAGATCGCTTCTGTGTCCCGAAGAAGGGAGCCTCAGTCATGAAGGGGTTAATTTAAAAAAATTTTTGTTATACTAGCACTAGATTGAAAGGATTAAATTGAACCCGTGTGAAATAATTAAAACCTTTACTAAATTGGTTTATGGATATAAAATGGGGTTTAAAAAAAAAACTGATCTGCCATTTCGGTCACAAATGAAGGAGAGGCAAAACGTCCACCTTTCTGCCACAGCTATCAAACTGGCCTTGAAGGCTTGGAATCAGATGTTTTTCCCATCTGTCATTTGTATCTGCACTTCAATGGCTCTTATTTTACCCTTTGAATTATACAACAAAATAAATCAAAATGAAACTACTCACCCAAATGCTGGGTTATTCTTGTAATCCTCCATTGCCATTTTTTCTAGTTCTCTGCCCCCTTCTGCTACAAATCGAGCCAACTGCTCCACCACCTTTCGGGTTTCAGAGTTCTCTGGGGGTGAAACTTTAAGCAGGCTGTCAGTACTGTGATTCAATTCACACATCAAATAGTCAACAGGCATTTTATTGCTAGGAAGAGGGCCAAGGCAAAGGAGAGGAAGGGAACAAAGCAGGCATGAGATAGCAACTTAGATTGTCTGCTCTTGTTGCCAGCATTCTTCATCAAGTACAAATTATCTATTGCAATAACCTTTCTACAATGTCTATTCAATCCCTCAACTTTTGCTATTTTAGTACAATGCTACATGCAAACAAGTGTCACTATACATAAGAACGTTATGATTGTTTTTAGCTTATAGCACAGGGAGCCTTGACACAGCAGGTCCAAAAGGGTCCTACAGACTATTAATTGGCCACTCTATCCAAAGCCAATATTATAGCTACAGGTAAATTGCAGCTGGCTAGTTCATCCATTGGTTTCAATTCTTATTGACACCAACAGAAAAAAGTTGAACAAGTCTCACTACGCCAGCTGTATATCCCATAATTTAAGAACATACAAAAAAGGGAAATGGAACACCCTCATAGGTGCTGAGTGAAGCTTTCACTGTGGACATACTCAGGCAATAAAAGAAGCCGATTAGGGAATTCAGCAAGCCAGCAACTACCCATCACATTAATATCAACTTAAAGCAGGCTGACCAATCTTTGGTTCACTGGAACCACGCTAAACCCTATTAAAAAAAGGGGGGGGGGGGCATGGCACCTAACTCTTAAAATTTTCTATCATTCTCAATGATAGCACAAGCAGTCAGACTGGCTGCCACAATATGTGTTTTTGCCCCCCTATTTTATGTATTTCTTCCCGACAAAGAATATATATTATGTTTGCTTCTGAGAGGGTATATTTAAGGCTAACACTCCAGGCAGACATAAAAGAAAATGTAATACAGCTCTGTATTCATTAAAACATAATTAATGAACTTAATATCAGCCTCTTTTAATCCCCTGGACAGCAGTGCTCAGAGTGGGAGAGGGAGAAGCAGCACCAGGAGCCTGCCAGTTGTGCTGCAGTGATCATGTGCTGACAAGAAAAATGAAACAGAGAGATGAGCTTATTGTCTATTGCTTCTACTTTTACTATCCAGCCACAGCCTGGGGGCAGGGAGGAGACCTGCGAGTTAACCACTGTAGAGAAAATGAGGCCTCCTTCCCTGCCAAACAGGCCTTTACTGTGTGGACAATCTGTGTAAATTTCAGGACTGGATAGACAAAAATACAAATCCTTTTGCTGGTAAAACAGCTTTAATACACAGAGTGTATTTTATTTGTGTATTTAGCAGTATGCCTGGAGTTCAGCTTTAAAAACTAAAGAGGGCAATCAGGAGAGTCCCTCTCTCTATCTATCTAATATATGGAGCCAGTCTAATCTAGGGTGTCAGAAATAACATTTAAAGTACTACATGTATTGTTATGGATAACAAACTAGTAGTGAATAATGTGTCTTGGTCAGCCCTGGCCAAAAAGACCATACACCTCAAAAAAACCCCTATGGGGGAATCTATCAAAACTGGAGCAGACAAAAACTGGAGCAGCTGTGCATGGCAACCAATCAGCTTCTCTCTTCAGTTTGTTCATTTAAGATTTGAAAAACAGAAACTGATGATTGGTTGCCATGCACAGCTGCTCCAGTTTTTGTCTGCTCCAGTTTTGATAAATTCCCTTTGATGCATTTTCTCAAAATAACATTAAAATAGTAACTGAAAATATATTCTAAACAATGTAAGACCATAGAGAAGACATTTACATAGTAATATTTGATCTAAAATCACTGCATAACATTCTATTCAACAACCTATTCTGGACAAAACGTACACTCTTTTATGTCATCACACTAAATAGGTGTGTCAGAATTGACCTTATGTGCTGGTAACGGCTCATTATCCAGGTGTAATTTGTGTTTCTATGTAGTTAACTGTAATTGTATCCATTTCATTTCTTGTATGATACTAAGGTCTAACCAGGAGGATGTCATTGCAGTAAGTTTATCTGGTTTACTTTGACTAAGAACCTATAGTTTGAAATGGCTTTACAGGTTTTGTGTTTTTTTTGTCAACAGCAAAGATTGGTTTTAAAAACATGTTTTCTGAGTGCTGATCATTTTACAATATACTGTATATATTAGAGGTGCACCGAAATGGAAATTTTAGAACCGAAACCAAAATTTAAAAAAAAAATGTCAGGCCGAAACCGAAAATGTTTTTTATTTTTATTATGAATGAACAGGAGTGGATATAGATCACATTCATTCATAATTGAGGATATATTAACCATACCATATCCTCAATTATCTACAAACACTCAGCGATCACTGATCACTGAGTGTTTGCACCTTACTCTTCTCTCTGACACGCTGTCACAAGAGGCTGATCGAGAGGTTAGAGAGAGGAACTGATCGAGAGAGGTAAGCCCAGCCTCCTGTGACAGCGCTGTCTCCGCCCCCACACCACTCTGCCGGACTGCGATAGGCGGCTGAGCGATGTGGGAGGAGAGACGTCCTGCAGCGCTCGGCTGGCTGTCACTTTCTTTTCTACCCGCTGGAACAGCGGCCAGTGGGGAGAAAAAAAAACAGGAATGCGCCGATGTATCGGACGAAACATGGCTCTTTCGGCATTATGCCAAAAGTGCCATTTTCGGCCGATATGTTTCGGCGCCGATATATCGGTGCATCCCTAGTATATAGGAACAAATATTGGAGTCTGCAATGCATCACAATGTTGCCTATGGGCAAAAACAGACAAGCACACATGGTACCGGTTCCATTACTTTTAAACCGCACAGACTGCTTGGAGTGGGCTTATAAACTTAAGACACTAGTTTTTCAATGACTGCAAGTGCATACCTACACAGGTAAGGTGTGGAATAAAGCTTTAGATATTAACTCTGCATAAAGTCTGCTCAATAAATTGATAGGAAACCACAAAACCCTTGTAAAAGCACCAAAATAACATATGGCAGTATTTTATAAGGCTAAAGACAATTTAGTGCAGATCATGGGGTCCATGGGTCATTTTCACTGAAACTGTCTGCATGGTAAAGTATATTTAAAACCAAAACTTTTACATTTTCGATGGAGTAAGGGTTAAAGGTTTATTTTTGAAAACCATTTACGAGCCTTTTCATTATGTCTTGTACTGTAGACACAGCAACAAAAAAAGTGAGGAAAATCCTTTCCAAGACCTGGTTCACACTGAACGTTTTGTAGCGCTTTTTCTGCCCTAGTAAAACACTAAAAAAATCTGCCCCCCAAAAAATCCCATTTATGTCTATGGCCCTGTTCACATCTGAGCGTTTTATCGCAATAAGCAAAACGCCTGTCCCTGGAAAAAGTACATAAGCTTTTTTTTGGCATATTACAGCTCGTTTTGGGCCCATTGACTCAATAGGTAACTCTAGAAAACGCGCCTTTGCTGTGATTTTGCACGTTCTTGCTCGACTTGATTTATGTGCATAAAACCAAAAACAGGTATCAGAAACGCGCAAAAACGCTGTCGCCTAGATGTTAACCCAGCCTAAGAAGGATGTCACCAGAACAAGGGTCCCCATTTGAGGATTTCCCCTCTATTCCTGTTCTGGTGACATCTCACAATTTTGTATCATTCACCCCCCAACTGACAGTGATCACCAAGACAAAAGGAAAGAGTGAATATCTTTAGTGAGGACAGCAATATAAACCTGAGTGTTGTAACACTTCCCTTCTCTGTAAAAAAAAAAAAAGTTAAAAGGTTCTGGCTTTGGATACACTTTACATGGGTTTATGAGCCTTTAGAGCATGCAGCAGTCTTAAAAAGAGGAACAATTTATCTCAAATGAACTGTATTTGAGGTCCAGTAACACCTGGCCTTCTCGGGTAGGAGTTCTTACATTTGACACGTTTGATTTACCGTCACATGAAAAAGCTTACTTTTTATCTCTAACCACTGCTCGTAGTCCTCTTCATCATCGTCATCCTCCTCAGGGGACTTAAAAACGCTGTTCCGAGTCACTTTCGGAGTCTGCTTCGGTTGAGAATAGGACTTCATTTGATTTAGCATGCTTTCCATAGAGGACCCATGGCGTTTTCCGATGAGGACAGACTTCTTATGAGCTGGTGCTGAATTTCCACTGGAACGTGTTCCCGAGTTATCTGTAAAATGAACAAGATCCATAAGTGTGCATCTGTATGTACCTTTTATATGCAAAAACAGTGTTTTACAGGTGTTTTTCAAATAACCAGTTTGACCATTTGAAACCATGAGATTTTTACTGTATCAGAAACAAAAAGGAAATAGACTGGTAGTGGTATACCATTAAGTATAGCATAGCTGCACTTCTGCCTCTAACAGGCAAACCACCAAAAGTTAGTGACTGCACAAGAAGACTTGTGGAGGAAGGCCGCCAAGAGACCTATGACAACTCCGAAGTAGTTACAAGCCCCAGTGGCTGAGACTAGAGAGACTATGCATGTAACGTTTGCCGAGGGCTTCACCAGTCACTGCTTTAGTGGTAAATGAAAGCCACTGTTCACTAAAACTCACATGATATCTTACCAGGAGACACGTGAGGGATTAGAAGTCAGCTGGTTTTATTGGTTTATGCCAGTTATGGAAGATTAATCTGATGGCCAAAAAACCAACATTCTCATCAACACATCATCTCCACCATAAATCATGGTGGAGGCAGTATCATGCTGTTGAGGGGTTGCAAGGTCTGGAAGGCTTGTAAAATTAGAGGGTAAAATGAATGCAGCAAAATACAGTGAAATCTTTGAGGAAACCCGAGGCAGTTCACATGAAACCTGAGTCTAGGGAGATTTTTCTTCCAGAAAAAGTCAAAACTAAACAAGAGTGGCTTCAAGAGAAACTCTGGAAGCTTTGCAAAAAAAAAAAACAAGTAGAGGGCAAATGACAAGTCACCAGTATTTTCTTAGTCTCAATGCAGATGATTGTTTCCCCATTATGGACTTACCGTGCCTTAACTGTGTCTGTATAAAGGTGTTCATCTTGGTAGAGGCAGGGCTTTGCTTCCTCATACCAAACCTCTAGCAAGGATAAGAGTAGGCAGCGTCTCCTAATACTGGCAGTCAAAGGCAGCAAAGCTTTAGAATCACAGTGTGGAGATAAAGCTGTAGACACAGGAGTGCCTAGGCCAGGGGTAGCAAACCTCCGGCCCCCGAGTGGTGGTGACACTACAAATCCCATGATGCATCTCTCTTCAGGAGTCATGTCTGTGGCTGTGAGAATCTTGCAATGCCTCATGGGATTTGTAGTTCCACCACAGCTGGAGGGCCGGAGGTTTGCTACCCCTGGCCTAGGCAAACTCAAACCACTGCACTGCTAGTTTTAAGACTTTTGTCTTAAATTTTGAATTTAAAACAGAACTATGGCCAAACCTGTGCTAGCGGTGCCTACCCCCTCCCTCATTTGTCCCTCCAGTCAGCGCTGGAGGAACGGAGAGGGGAGGGGGAATCCCTGCAGGGAGCAGTGACTGATAGTCATTGCTCTCTGCAGGGAGATTCGGAACAGAGTGACCAGTGGTATGTGATCGCTGAGTTCTCGATCAATAGAGCCGACATGTGACAGCTTCAGTGTCGCACGTCGGCTCTAACAATGGGGGTGAGCGCATTTCACTCATCCCATAGTTCTCTCCAGACAAAAAAGGTAAATCTTTCAGAGTACAACTAACATTTATAGAGGTTTTCTAAAAATTAGCTTCACTTTTTTAGCGCAGTTCCATTTTCAAAACAATATTCCTGAACTGGAATGTTAGAGCCAGGGTCTTAGTCTCAATCCCATAGAGAATTTGTGGCTGGACCTAAAAAAATCTGCTCACTTGCAGCAGTTTTGTAAAAGAGAAATAGGAAAGATAGTAGTGTCCAGAGATGAAAAGCCAATTGTGACCTAGCCACACAGATCCCATACAGTAATTGCTTCCAAAAATGATCTACTAAATACTGACTTGAAGGGGTTTATATTTAAGTAGTCAGTTATTTTGTCTTTTCATCAATTCATTTAAATTGCTTTTCCAAAATCTGTTTTGACTTTGACATTTAATATATTTCAGTTGAATTGGTCTTGTCCCTTCATCTACATGATGAGGCTTACCAGGGTCTCAACAGAGCCAGAAAGGCACTAGGCTGTGGCGGTGTCAAGCACACTGATCTAGGCAGGTAGATGGTTCATTGACCAAAAAAAAAAAAAAACAACACACACAAGCCTTCAAAGTTGCTACATCCTCCAAATCCTCCTGGTCCTATTTGTAGTTATACAGTTATGGACAAAAATATTGGAACCCCTGCATTTCTGTCAGATAATGCACCACTTTGTGCAGAACATTGTTGCAATGACAAATGTTTAGGCATTCTCATGTTTATTTAGTTTGTATTGGTATGACACAAAAAAGTGGAGAGAAAAAAAAGCCAAATCTGACTCATTCCATGCAAAACTCCAAAAATGGACTGGACAAAATGATTGGCACCCTCAATTAATATTTGGTAGCGCAGCCCTTGGAACAAAACTGAAATCAATCGCTTCCTGTAACCATCAATGAGTTTCTTGCACCTCTCTACAGGAAGTTTGGACCACTCTTCTTTCACCAACTGCTCCAGGTCTCTCAGATTGGAAGGGTTCCTTTTCCCAACTGCTGTTTTGAGATCCCTACACAGGTGCTCTATGGCATTCAGATCTGGATTCATTGCTGGCCAGTCCAGTACTCTCCAGCACTTTGTCTGAAACCATTTCTGGGACCTCTTGTTCATGTGTGCTTTGGATCATTGTCCTGCTGTAAGACTCATGACATCTGATGGAGACCCAACTTTCTGACACTGGGCCCTACATTGCATCCCAGAATTATTTGGTAGTCTTCAGATTTCATAATGCCATGCACACAGTCAAGACATCCAATGCCTGAAGCAGCAAAGCAACCCCAAAACATCAGAGGACCTCCACCATGTTTGACTGTACGGTGTGTATTTTTTTTCTTTAAAGGCCTCATTTCTTTTTCTGAAAACAGTAGAATGATGGAGGGTCTTTATCCACCAATCTAACAATCCTTCGTTGCAATCTTTGATCAATTGTTCTCTTTTGTCCACGTCCAGGGAGATTAGCTACAGTGCCATGGGCTGTAAACTTCCTTACAATGTTGTGCACAGTGGACACAGGAACATTAAGATCTCTGGAGATGGACTTGTAACCTTGAGATTGTCCATGCTTTTCCACAAAAACTTGGAATACAGTTATTTCTTGCAATTTGAAGAAGGTGCCAATAATTTTGTCCAGTCCATTTTTTGAGTTTTGTGTGGAATGTGTCAGATTTGGGGGGGTTTTTCTCCACTTTTTCTGCATCATACCAATACAAACAAAAGAAAAAAAATATGAGAATGCCTAAACATTTGTAATTGCAACAATTTTCTGCACAAAGTGGTACATTATCTGACAGAAATGCAGGGGCACCAATACTTTTGGCCATGATTGTATATAAAGTCACTATTGTAAATATATTAACATGCAACAAATGTATCAATTACACAGTAGAAATTATTAAACCACAACCCTTTTCTGTTCTACTAAACAGTTAAGCCAGCATAAAGAAAATAACCTTCTTCTATTGATGCCTAATCTTCTACACAGTAATTTGTCCTCTGAAACAGCATGATGATGGCCTGTATATGCATACATATCCTTTTCTTCTGTGCAATGTATCCACTCAGCTGTATACTGCATTTCATCGGGTATCCAGAGAAATGCTTAGATTCACTAAAGGTAAGAGTGTCCCCCCTCACGATTTTAGTAGCTGATGTACATTGTTGTTATGCAGAAGTTGTGTGCTACACCATCAACCACATTCTGCATTCCCAAACCACCTGTAATATGAGAGACTGATTAACCTGATCCGGACAAAATATTTATGATTAGTTACTGGACAAGACAGCTTGAGAGGTTTCACATCTAGGTTTACATCTTTGTGATGCACCACTGCACTGCTGTGCATTGGGTTAGGGCAGCCCCGAGTTTTAGGGTACCATTAGCTCCTTTTACACCTGTGCATCTGTTAACACGTGTAAAAACATGCATTAAACACATGTGTGTTGTTGCATCGCAAACATGTAAGCTTAGCCTAAGAAGAATGCACCGCAGTGCACCTACATTAAAAACAAAATGTTTTTGTGCACTGCAGGAAGATGCATGATTTTGCACGTATTCTTGCAGCACACAGATGTGAATGGAGCCTTAATGACATGCATTGTTAAGAGCATTTTGTTTGCTTTTAAATACTGACACTTGTTTCCCTAAAAACCTCTTTAAAGTATAAAAGCACAAACTCACCAGTGCCTGTCTTTTCTTTCTGTAACTTAAGAAACTGTTGTAAGAAACTGCCATCATTTGCAAATTTGTTTGAGGTGGAGGAGGAGGAAGAGGAGGAGGAGGAGGAGGAAGAGGAGGAGGATGATGAAGATGAACCTGCAGAACTGCAAAAAAAAAAAAAAATATGTATGAAAAAGTGAGCAATCAATTTATAAATAGACACCACAAGGTAGTAATCTTTAAACCTAAAAATATGCTTTTTACCATGTGTACAAAAATGGAAAAACCACTATGGCAGTGAAAGGGTTCAGTTTAGACAGCAACAAAGATGGCCTGACTGTAATGGCAACATGTAGCAATCCAATAGAGCCACCAATGTGTCTGCCCAGTGATCCTTTGCCCTCGCTAAAAACCTCTGTCATTCCCCATCACTAACAGATTTGTTGGAAGACTTCCAGGTGAAGGGCACAGTCCCCCTGATACAGACCATTTTGACAGAGATGATCCACTTTCCAGTTTTCTGCCATTGGCATGTGTACTGAGAACAGAGCCAGAACATGTGACTTTCTGCCCAATTCAGGGTGTGAAACACTACCAGCACTGGCGCTGTGCTCTTGGTCGCCACCTTATGGTTTATATACACCAGTGCTGTGACGTTGTCTGACTGCACCCAAACAAGGTGTCCAAGGAGGTGTCCAGTTCAGGTACGTTGAACTAGATTGTTCACTTCTGCCTTCTCCAAACTCTTCACCCTTTAGTAAATAGACATGTTAGTCTTTTTTCTGCCACCACTCTATGGTTCTACCTTGGCCTGGTTGGTATTTAATACTAGTCCCATGTATTTCAGCCAAAGTGGCAGAATCAGGAGGATTTCGAGATTTAAAATCAATCTGAACTCATCCAACATCCAAATGGTGAGGGACAGGTTGGACACCAGTCCTGAATAAGATTCCATAGGCTGTAAAAGGTCGTCCGGGTAACCCACAATTGGTATCCCTCTCGACCTCAAGGTAGCTAAGTCGCCAACATCTTGGGGAGCACCTGGGGAGCCGTGAAAGGTCAAAGCTGCAAACTGAGAATGCTCCTCCCCAACAGCAAAGCATAAAAACCCACAGGTGACCTGGTAAAAGGGAACAGGAAATATATATCCTTCATATCTATACAGGAGTGTGAAATTCCTATCGCCCGACGCCCGGGACATGCAGTTTCGGGCGACGGGCGAGTAGTTTTAAAGTACATTCAGCCCGGCTCCCTACAAGCTGAGCTGAATGTATGGAGCCGCCGCCACTCGTTTAATACAAGTGGTCCGATCAGACCACTTGTATTAATTTGAGCAGCGGCGATCGTTTCTGCCCGCACCCCCCGCCGTAGTTTTCGGGGTCGCCCGCTCTCCGGGGGACCCCGAAAACTAAGGCACAACGGCTCAGCCATAGAGCCCATAGAGCAGACAAAAAACGTCTGCTCTACGGGCTCCCTGTGTGTTCTCTGAGACCGTGGCGCTGTAATCACAGCGCCACCTGTCTCGGCTGTCAGGAACTACACAGAACTGCTGTTCTGTGTTGGAGGGCAGGTTCCATAAAGAGAACCTGTCACCTCCAAACTATCACATAAGGGATTTTAATCTCCTATGTAATAGGAAGAACATTAAAGGGGAAAAAGTAAATAAATAAAAATTAAAAAAAAGTTTAAAAAGATAAAATAAAGATTTAAAAAATGAAAAAGTAAAAAATGAAAAAGTAAAAAAAATAAAAATAAATAAAAATTAAATCCTGCTGCCCCCGCCATCTGCATGCAAATAAACGCATGCGTAGGACATTCTGCATGTGCTTTGAGATTGCAGCCGCCATTCCATGGTGGTAGCCAGAATTCTCTTACACACACATAATGTGCATTAAAGGGTAAGTTCATTTTCCTAGGTAATATGGAAAAAGAAAAATGACCCGATGAAATCTGGCCCTGTCTCTCCCAAACCGCCACCCCCCTGGCTATACTTACCTTTCGGCAAACAATCCCTCCCCTCCAGGCTTTAAAAGTGTCTTTTATTGATTTTTTGGGGTACTGCAGTTTTTCGCCGTTTCACGGTCGCACGCAATCTGTAAACTGGGCATGTTGGGTATCGTTTTACTCGTTGTAACCTCATCTTTTATATTTCATTAAAAAAATGGGTAATTTGTTGTGTTTTGGGGCATTTAATTAAATTTGTCACTAAATTTTGGGGTTTAATAAGGAGTTGCGCTAATATTGCGCAACATAAAAATTTTCAACTACCACCATTTTATTCTATAGGGTCTTGGCATTCAGAAAATATATAATGTTGGGGGGTTTTACGTCATTTTCAGGCCTAAAATGTGGAATATAACATGGGTGCAAAAATGGAAAAAAGGGCCTCAGTCATGAAGGGGTTAAATTTCCACACCCCTGTCTATGGGTGCCAGAGTCTCTCCCTGATGCAGGAATGCCAATACAGAATGGATGAACTCCATCTTAAACTTGCAGGCTTTGACAAAAACATTCAACACTTTGAGATTCAAGACAGATCATAAGCCACTCTTTATGGGCAGTTGGGCACCATAAGGAGGTTTGAATAGAAACCTTTCTGCAGCCGGAACTGGAATCTCAAACTCCTGGGCCAGACATAAATCTGATAACCACTGGAGAGGCTGGAAGCAAAAACATCCCTGCAGAAAGAGTGTAAGAAACTCCATTTTGTAGACTGAAGCTACCAATTTACAAAATCCATTTGCCCGACACATGGGTTAACCAATGGTGTGCAAAGGTGGAATTTGTCCGCCTACCTTCAGCTTAACAGGGCTTCTCCACAGGCTTTGAACTGACAGGGCTTAGAGAAGAGAACTTAGCCCCCCTGTCCAAATATCCTCGTGAAAGAAAAAATGAATTATGGGCTGAAAAGCTAGGCCCAGATTTGCCACAATAAGCCTTGGCTCTCCTGAGCTGGTCAAGAACGTACTTTTTACTGACAAACAGTTCAGCCAAGCAACCAGTGGATGACCACAGTCAAAGCTAAGTGCCTAGAGACCAATGATCCCAAGTCTAGTGCCACATGGCAAATGTACTTTCATCTCAGTTTAAGCTGCTTTGCCAAATCCACATTAACATGTGGAACTTGTTCCTCTGCTATACCCTTGTGTAAGATTTTTGACCACTTTGTTAAGGTGGCCATACACCTTACAACCATTGCACGACTTTCATTGTGTGATGGTTGTAAGGTGATTAAAATTTCGTACGATCTGCCCATCTTGGACAGGCAGATCGTACTTGCGATCATCGCAAGCCCTCCCCGCTGAGGGGAGGGCTTCAGATGATTGCAGTACTGAGCGGGCAGTGTGCGCACACCGGCCCGTGCGGCATTAGTCTCCCGACCACACCACCAACCCGCAGAAAATCATACAATTTTTGCCAGGTTTTCAAGCTCGGAAGACAAATGTCGTGAAACCTTACAGTAGAAGAGGTCGCACGCTGCCCATACACCTGCCGATTATCGAACGATAATCGGCAGGTGTATGGGCACCTTTAGTGTTTGCGAAACAAGTGCCAATGCTAAAACTGAACACAATAAAAATCCTGTTACCATGTGCATAGATCTAAAGACGGCTTCAGCCTTCCTTTCTGTAGGATTTTTAAAGGAAACGGACTCCTCCACCTGAATACCTGTGGCCTTATTTGAGAACCCGGAGTATCCACCACAGGCAGAGATGTTCACTTCTTAGTATACTCCACCAGAAAGGGGTACCACCATAATTGCCATAGCAAATCAAACTGCCGAGTTGGTACTTTCCACTCTTTATAGATAAAACAGTCAAAAAATTAGTGGTAGGGAAAAACTGTAGATGAACGCTTCATCTTATCCCCAGAAAGTACTGGTTTGTTGCATGCTACAGCAGGGAATCTACACTCACAGGCCACTTTATTAGGTACACCTGTTCAATTGCTTGGCTGAATAGCAATTTGTGTTACCAATCACATGGCAGCAACTCAATGCATTTAGGCATCTAGACGTGGTGAAGACGACTTGCTGAAGTTCAAACTGAGCATCAGAATGCGTGAAGAAAGGGGATTGAAGTGATTTTGAATGTGGCATGGTTGTTGGTGCGTTACGGGCTGATCAAAGTATTTCAAAAACTGCTGATCTACTGGGATTTTCACACACAACCATCTCTCGGGTTTACAGAGAATGGTCCGAAAAAGAGAAAAGATCCAGTGAGCGGCAGTTGTGTGAACGAAAATGCCTTGTTGATGTCAGAGGTCAGAGGAGAATGGCCAGACTGCTTCGAAATGACAGAAAGGCAATAGTAAAAGGTGCCCATACACTGTATAATTATCGTACGAGAAATCCCGCGATCGTACAATAATCGTAAAGTGTATGGAAGGCATGCGACCGTTTCTACTGTACGGTCGCACGTCTTCCGTCGAACAAGCAGGCTGGAAAACCCCGCCGGGAATCGTACGATTCTCGGTGGGTTAGTGGCCTGCTTGTTCGACAACTGCCGAACAGGCCGGTGTGTGCACGCGCACACTACCCGTTTGCAGTGATCGGAAGCCCGCCCCTCATTGCATTCATCGGAAGCCAGCCCCTCAGATGATCGCAAGTACGATCTGCCTGTCCAAGATGGGCAGATCGTACGTTTTTTTTAATTACTTTACAACCCTCGCAAGACAAAAGTCTTGCGTTGTAAAGTGTATGGCTACCATTACCTTATGATCATGTTCGCCCCCCCGGCCGTGGTTTTCGTGGTCTCCTGCTCCTAGGGGGGACCCGTGACCACAGCACATGAGCTCACCACAGAGCCCGTAGGGCAGACGAAGAACGTCCATTGTTCTGTCAAAATGGCTAACTCGTAACGTAACATCCATTGGAGATTTCGACAAAATGGCGCTTATGCCATCGGATGCCCGCGCAGACGCACTAATGCAAATTAGAGAACGTGATACTGCTCTTAGGTGCACTGACGGGAGTTGGAGATCCCGTGTAATCAGGAAGCGGGGCAGCGACTAATGACCCGCCTCCGGGTTTCCTGATTGGCCGGGAAGCCAGCTTCTTGCCGATTGGCTGGGAAGCCGGCTTCCCGGGCCAAGCAGCATCGAGTTGGCTTTCCGGCCAATCAGGTCATTACACGCCACCCGGTTTCCCGATTGGCTGGGAAGCTGGTTTCCCGACACATCACAATCAAGCCGGCCAAACAACATGGAGCCAGCTTCCTTGGCAATCAGGAAGCCGGGTAACATGTCATTACACCATGCTCGGCTTCCTGATTGCCTGGGAAGCCTGCTCCATGCCAACGGAAGCACCGATACTCGGTATCGGCGAGTGCCGAAAGCAATATCAGTACTTGATATCCAAAAAATGGTATTAGTGCATCCCTTGTTTTGATTAAAACTATAATTTTGTATTGTGACAAGTAGATTCGGCCCCCACTTTAGCCCTTGGGCAAGTTTGGGGTTTTTTCACACCCCCCGGTTATGTATATTATCAAATGAATAAAGAACACTTGAAACACAAATAGTTATGGTGAAGCAAAGAATCATTTCAGCTTAAAAAGCTATACTTTCTCTCTTAAAATGAGTATTCTGTTACTTACACTGAGCCTTGAACTGGGGTACTTGGAGTGGATTTCTGAGCTTGTTTTTGTGTTTTGGCCTCAATCTCCCTCTTTTTCTTCTCTATAAGCTCCTCTTGGTACTGGATATAATCACTTGGTTTTACAGGTTTTTGCGGAGCAGAAGCAAACCGTCTTCCACCTAACCCTAAAGGAAAATTGGAAAAGGTTGTTTTAACATCATATTACAGAAGTTGTTTTAGGAGCATCAACAGAAACTCAACCAAACTTTGACATCATAACACTTTTTCAACAATCTATATTTGGAGTACAGAACCCAAGGGACCTGCAACATGCTTCTATAAACCATGCATCACAAGGCAGGGAGCAGACAGGTATTTTTTAGCAATCAGCCCCTACCTCCCACCCCCTTGCTTATCTACGCATAAAATATATTTTTTTCAATTAAAACAGCCAGGCCAGTCGAAAAACAATCACAGCCAAACAGTGACTGCAGCCAATCAGCTGATCAGGTATTCTGACAATGGGACACTCCCACTGCTGTCAGATTACAACAGACTTTCGAGAGTTGTTTCCCGCAGGGCTGAAAGAGATACAACTGACAGTGTATGGCCAGGTTTACACTTTTGATCAGTGGGAAGAACTCTCCTTACCTTGGTGGTCAGTGGGAAGAAAGCTCCTTACCTTGGTGGTCAGTGGGAAGAAAGCTCCTTACCTTGGTGGTCAGTGGGAAGAACGCTCCTTACCTTGGCGGTCAGTGGGAAGAACGCTCCTAAACTTGGCGGTCAGTGGGAAGAATGCTCCTAAACTTGGCGGTCAGTGGGAAGAACGCTCCCTACATTGGCAGTCAGCGGGAAGAACGCTCCTTAACCTCTTGCCGTCCGCCCGTAGTAAAAAAACGGACGGACGGCACTGCAGCATCTGCGGGTTGCCGTCTCGAGACGGCAATTTTTTTCTGCTCGCGGGCGCCCCCTAGCGGGCACGCACGGGCAGAAAAGACCCGTCCAATGCGAACACCCGGTAAAGGGAAGAACGCTCCTTACATTGGTGATCAGTAAAAAGAAAGTCCCCTTACATTGGTCATCAGTGGAAAGAACGTCCCCTTACATTGGCCATCAGTGGAAAGAACGTCCCCTTACATTGGCCATCAGTGGAAAGAACGTCCCCTTACATTGGCCATCAGTGGAAAGAACGTCCCCTTACATTGGCCATCAGTGGAAAGAACGTCCCCTTACATTGGCCATCAGTGGAAAGAACGTCCCCTTACATTGGCCATCAGTGGGAAGAACGTCCCCTTACATTGGCCATCAGTGGAAAGAACGTCCCCTTACATTGGCCATCAGTGGAAAGAACGTCCCCTTACATTGGCCATCAGTGGAAAGAACGTCCCCTTACATTGGCCATCAGTGGAAAGAACGTCCCCTTACATTGGCCATCAGTGGAAAGAACGTCCCCTTACATTGGCCATCAGTGGAAAGAACGTCCCCTTACATTGGCCATCAGTGGAAAGAACGTCCCCTTACATTGGCCATCAGTGGAAAGAACGTCCCCTTACATTGGCCATCAGTGGGAAGAACGTCCCCTTACATTGGCCATCAGTGGAAAGAACGTCCCCTTACATTGGCCATCAGTGGAAAGAACGTCCCCTTACATTGGCCATCAGTGGAAAGAACGTCCCCTTACATTGGCCATCAGTGGAAAGAACGTCCCCTTACATTGGCCATCAGTGGAAAGAACGTCCCCTTACATTGGCCATCAGTGGAAAGAACGTCCCCTTACATTGGCCATCAGTGGAAAGAACGTCCCCTTACATTGGCCATCAGTGGAAAGAACGTCCCCTTACATTGGCCATCAGTGGAAAGAACGTCCCCTTACATTGGCCATCAGTGGAAAGAACGTCCCCTTACATTGGCCATCAGTGGAAAGAACGTCCCCTTACATTGGCCATCAGTGGAAAGAACGTCCCCTTACATTGGCCATCAGTGGGAAGAACGTCCCCTTACATTGGCCATCAGTGGAAAGAACGTCCCCTTACATTGGCCATCAGTGGGAAGAACGTCCCCTTACATTGGCCATCAGTGGGAAGAACGTCCCCTAACATTGGCCATCAGTGGGAAGAACGTCCCCTTACATTGGCCATCAATGGGAAGAACGTCCCCTAACATTGGCCATCAGTGGGAAGAACGTCCCCTTACATTGGCCATCAGTGGAAAGAACGTCCCCTTACATTGGCCATCAGTGGAAAGAACGTCCCCTAACATTGGCCATCAGTGGGAAGAACGTCCCCTTACATTGGCCATCAATGGGAAGAACGTCCCCTAACATTGGCCATCAGTGGGAAGAACGTCCCCTTACATTGGCCATCAGTGGGAAGAACGTCCCCTTACATTGGCCATCAGTGGAAAGAACGTACCCTTACATTGGCCATCAGTGGGAAGAACGTCACCTTACATTGGTCATCAGTGGGAAAAACATCCCCTTACATTGGCCATCAGTGGGAAGAATGTCCCCTTACATTGGTCATCAGTGGAAAGAATGTCCCACAACATTGGCCATCAGTGGAAAGAACGTCCCCTAACATTGGCCATCAGTGGAAAGAATATCCTGTTACATTGGTGGTCAGTGGTGGGAAGAACGTGAACAATGCCCTCTACACTGGTGGTCAGTGGAAAAAATGCTCCATACATTGGTGATAAATGGTGGGAAGAATGCCCTCTACATTAGTGGTCAGTGGAAAAAATGCACATTACACTGGTGATCAGTGGGAAGAATGCCCTCTACACTGGTGGTCAGTGAAAAAAAATGCTCATTACACTGGTGATCAGTGGGAAAATGTTTCCTTACACTGGTGATCAGTGGGAAAAATGTCCACTTATGTTGGTGGTCAGAATGCACTCTACACTGGTGGTCAGTGGAATAAAAAAGGCCCCTTACATTGGTAGTCAGTGTGGAAAATTGCTCCTTGCATTGGTGGTCAGTAGGAAGGCCACCCCCCTTACAGACAGCTAAAAAGATCACTGGTGTCAACGGTTACTTTTCTGGTATGCACAAACAACCCCCCAGCAACCTCCAAAGGCTCCCTGGTTGAGAAAAGCTGTATGTATACTTTGTAAAACGCATATGCCTTACAATAAATCGCACATACCAAACAAACACACTGCAGATTGTGTGCACTATACTTCTGTATACTGCCCAAACAATGCACCACAGTGTCTTGTACAGTCATCTCATAATGGTGCCTGTAAATGTCTAGTCCCCTTAGTTATCCCGAACACACAGATAAAGAGCCCCGTAAGGGTATAGTGCAGCTCATGCAGAGGGATAAGCCATTAATACCTGCACCCTTCCAGACATCCATCTTGCTCTCTGCCCGATCACCAAACCCTCCTCATAACAGCAGAGGCTCTTCCGGTTCCGGGGCATGCCGGGAGTCGTAGTCCAGCTTGTGCTACTGCTGTTGCTGGTATTGTTTGAGAGGTGCTGCAGTGACTTCGCCGGTTTTGTATACTCGGACGCTCGGTATGTGTTTCAAAATAAAAAATTACCGCATTCAGCTAAAGTCATCTTTAATTTATCATAAACTGCGAACAATGAGATGTTTACGTAAGAAATGCGACTGAGATTAACAGTGAATACAAGTACACGATCAGCACCCTAATCTGTAACTGCTAAACTGCACTAATTTGAAAGTTTAATCCCATCTGTTTCAAATCTTTCTAAAGTTAGGCATATACTATCGATTAGTGATCATTTTAATACAAGCGATTGCAAACAAGCAGTTTATCATTGATTAAACTATGCAGCACATATCACCTACGTTAATCAATCTGTATTATATTGGGTTGTCTGAGGCTGGGCACACACCTTACAACCATTGCAAGACTTTTGTCTTGCAATAGTTGTAAGGTAATTAAAAAAACGTACGATCTGCCTATCTTGGACAGGCAGATCGTACTTGCGATAATCGCAAGCCGCCCGACCCTCGTCCGGCTTTTATCGTACGAACATGCTACACACCCGCCGAACATCGTACGATGCTGGGCTGGTTTTCGAACATGTTTGTAAGTTAAAAGTCGTGCGACCTTACAGTAGTAGAGGTCGCACGCCTTCCACACACCTTACGATAATCGTACGATCGCGGGATTTTCCGCGATTATCGTATGATTATCGTAAGATGTGTGGGCACCCTGACACACAGACTTCGTTCGATCAAGCAGAAATGATTGATAGCATTCGGGGGCTGTCCCTATAATGAGGCTGTTGCCTCAGGCGGCATCTCTTTGGGCCGCATGGTGGGGGGACGGCAGACAGAGGAGCTACACAATGTTTGTAGTGTGTTTGCTGCCCCCTTTATGGCCATAGCATCCCAGGCTGCTAAGAACTGGGACGTTATGGCCGGTGTCCCATCCAGCTCCTGGCAACCAGTGACGTCAGAGGGTCCCAGGTTGGTAAGAACTGGATGGGGTGATGCAGAGGACTCTCATGTCTGTCGGCACTGTCTCCCCTACCCACCTTCTGGTTGCTTTGGTCCACGCCCCAGCCAGGTAGTAAAATGTCTAAGCACTTCCCTGATAGCATTCCACAGTGGCTGATCGACTTGCTGGTGTCAAAATCATTTTACAGCTCGCTATATAGATCAAATGGAGGGTCTGTGCTTTATGATTCTTATTCAATTCAGTCATTTGCAACCAGAAACGCTGTCCCTGGACTCAACATGTTTGTGTCCAGGTTCAGGATGAGCAGTTACATGTGAACTGGGCATTGATTTGGACAGAGTATAAATCTGACAGCTACCGCGACTGTTCATTTACATTGTTTGCTTGCAGCATTTTGCTCCACTGGCAACAATCACCAGTGACCGCCCATGTGAATGGGGCCTAAAGGTGACACTTGTGTGAACCTCTTACAAAATTTAGCCACGGACAGTTTTTGCCGCAGTGAATGCCAATTTCTTTTTACACTGTTCTGCCAAATTGACATCTGTGCAATTGTAAAGTAGAAAGGTGACTGTGGACATGTAGAGGTGTTCTGACCACCTTTAAGCTGGCCATGCACTGTAATACCGTGTTTCCCCTCAAAAAAACACACTAGGTCTTATTTTCGGGGTAGGTCTTTTTTTTTTTTTAATGTACAACAATCCACACTTATTCATGCACAACAGTCTACATGTATTCATGTACAAAAATATGGTGATCAGGGCAATCAGGGGTGCCTTACCTTTCCAAGAGCAATTTGCTAACCAATCGCTGGCCAGAATGAGCAAAGTGCATTTGGTATCACTCTGCCTGTGACAGGAGGCGGCGCTATAGAGGAGGCATCGGCTTATGCAGCTCTGCACCCTCCAGTCCTCTAGCGCTGGCTTCGTTGGCACCGCTGATTCTCTCCTGCCTCTCCCGCGGCTCTTCAAGTTCCCCCTTATGCCACTACCGGCCCTCGGAATGGCCACAACTAGGTCTTATTTTCGGGGTAGGTCTTATATTTTAGCAATTCCCAAAAATAGTACTAGGTCTTATTTTCGTGGTAGGTCTTATTTTCGGGGAAACAGGGTATGTTCTCTGTGCAACCAGCGCGCTGAACGAAGAAAATATTACAGATTCCTCTATCAACGCTTCCGTGCGTTGATCGAGGAATCTCCCACTGTTTGCTTTGTAGCTCATTGGCTGCCGCCTCTGCTCGTTCGAAGATTTTCCCACCGGCTGCTTTGAGCAGCTGATCGAGGGATGCCGGCTGAAAGGGTCCCGACAGAGGCACACGCTGTGTAAATTTCAGCCGGTTTATCAAGAACTGCCCAAAATTCATACACTGATCCCCATGATTGGGATTGGTGTAGATTTGTTTTGATTTCTAGCGCTGCTCATCTAGTTAATACCTATATGGAACAATTACCTGCGAATAAGGGGAGATGCTTGTCCCTGGTGGCAATCTGTCTGCATCCTGGGACAGTCATCTATCTCGAACTACGGGATATATTCCATTTACGATTACATGCAGACAGCCACAGACAGATGTGGCCGATGTCAGCTTGTCATTAACTTGAACAGGCACAGTGGCCACATCTACAGTATACAGACACACCTGGGATTCCTGTCATGGAAATATGCTGGTTTGTGTTGCAGGAATCTCCAGATGCAAATAAAAGCCCAGTGTGCGTGTGGCTGAGGCTCATGGGCGTAATAAAATATTGATATCTACACAGGATCCTGTGTAAAAAGGTGCAGATAATGGTTTGTAAAGTGTTACCGTTTACACATTTAAAGTAATGCTAAACTCAGGAGTTAAATCTTAAATTTGCATTCAAACTCCGTAAATATTAACAAAAGTGTATATTTGTGTATCACTCAGCTGCAGATCCTCAAATCATCTCTGAATTGGCGCTGACACTGTCCCTCCTTCTGGAGGGGGGCTACTTTTGTTTCCTCTGGTCCTGTGTGTGTTGTAAAGTAGTCACGGCTCCAAGCTCTCTCCTGTGATAGACTACAATCTCATGTTTAGTTTACTACTTTGTATTGAGATTGTAGTGCTTGTAGCGTTGGTTACTTTACAACACACACAGGACCAGAGGAAACAAAAGTAGCCCCCCTCCAGAAGGAGGGACAGTGTCAGCGCCAATTCAGAGATGATTTGAGGATCTACAGCTCAGTGATACACAAATAAGATACATTTTTGTTAATAGTTAAGGTACTAGAATGCATTTTTAAGGTTTAACTCCTGAATTTAGTGTCACTTTGAATGTTTAAATCTGTAAAGTGTACAGTTTATCTTCCTAGCTCAGTCTTCAGTCCCAGCAGAAAATGCAGAAGTACTGACCTCGGACGAAGAATTTTCTCCTCCTATTTTGTGCCGCTGAACGCAGTGCGAGATCACTGAGCACAGCAGTGGGTTTGGGCCCATAAAATACAATACTGTTGCCTTCAGATCGTTAGAACGACATACATTGTACAGATCCGAACTCTAAAGGAGGAAAACAGTATCAGTCCTATTGCCTTTTCTCCCAGGATGACACTGCCTATTTATAATACTGGATACTGCCATGCCAATTAATGCCTGTTGCCACCTCCAGTCCACTAAGGCCTTGTTTGCACAGGAGGGAGGTATACACACCTCTGAAAAATGATCCATGGTCAATCGCTTTTTAGAGGAGGTTTAGAGCTGGTTCACAGGAATCCAGAGGCGTGTTCAGTTGCTCAGCCGATGCGAATGCTGAGATAGCAAACCGCCACCATAGATCAGGTACAAGAATTTGCCCGATCAGGGCACATAGAACTGTGAAAGCCATGATTGGGCAAAGTCATTATGACTTTGCCCAATCATGCCTCACCTGTTACAACTGTAAACAGTTGGGCGGAGCTAGCTGTCACTGCTAGCTCAGCCCAATTGTTTATATGTTGCCGGCATCAGTCAAAATACCATTCTGTGGTGGGTGTTCGTCGCAAACGGACGGGACGGTCATCGTCGGGTTTTTTTTATGTTCATTTTTCTATTTCTTTTTTATTGTTTTATTTTTTTATTTCGTCGAGTCGTCGTGGACAACGCTGGATGTCGTGATTGACGCTGGATTAACCACTTCAAGACCAGGTGTTTAGACCCCCTTCCTGGCCAGGCTATTTTTCAGCAACCAAAACCCCAGGGCTAGTGGGAATGAGGCCCTTGGCGACCCTGGAAAAACACCCTCCCAGTGCTGAGGGCATGTGGCCTGGTATCGCAGGGGGGGACCTTAAGGGTCTGGTATGACTTTTGCGGGGAAGCCCAAATTTTTTTTTTTAAATGGGGTCCCTCCTAATATTCCTACCAGACTTAAAAGGCCTGGTATTGTTTGGGAGGGGGAACTGCATGCTTTTCCTTTTTTCTATGTCCTTTTTTTCCTTTAGAAATGTCATGTTTGCTGAAGCAGGTTCTATACATCGTACAGATTTGCCACTTTACAGGCAGTTTAAGGGGACCCCCCAGGGACAATATTGAAAGGTATTTTTCACTTTTACTATTTCACTTTAAGTGATGTTAAAATCACTGCTCCTGCTTTTAAAATTTGTTATTTTTTAAGTGTTTTTTTCATTGATTCATGTCCCCCAGGGCAGCGCCCGAATCCCCATACACTTTTTATGGACATTAACTTGCAAATAAGCCTTCAAAAAGGCGTCAAATGATTTTCAAAGTTCTACCCTCATAGATTTGCATTGAGTACAAACTTTTTCCATGTTCTAAAGTTCGCAGTTGAACCGAACACAGGGGTGTTCGGACCATCACTACTGAAGACGCCTCAGGAGTCAATACTACTGCCTCCTGAAGGCTTGTTGTTTTGTTTGATCCCCAAGGAGGATTTTACAATGAAATATTGTGCCACAACTGTGTGCCAAGCATTGTTGTGTGGTCCCTTTGACTTCAATTGATATATTTGGCAAGCAGTAAATGCGACGGGCT